AAATTTTATTAAGTTTTTCACATTTTCATTTTACAATGTAAAAAATTAATTTTTAAAATAAATAAAAAAAGTCTATTCCTAAATTATTAAATTCTAATCTTAAAAAAAATTTTTTTTTTTTTTTAGTTTTTAATTTATTCATAAGTAAATATTATCTAGTTTTTGTTAAACAGCAACCTTAAAACTTATTTTTACAAAACTCAAATTAAAAAGAAAAAAAAAAATTTATTAAATACTATTCACTTTTTTTTTCTTTTTTTTTTCTCATTGTAATACAAAAACATTAATAATATTAATTAATTTAAATTGTTTTAATTATGTATTAAAAATTATATATTAAAATACTACTTCAATTATAATATCATAAAATAATTTTTTTTCATTACAAAAAAAAATTAAAATCAAATAGTTAATAATTATGTACCATTTTAAAAATAAATTAATAAAAGTTATTTTTTAATTCTATTTCTTTTTTATCTTATACTTTATTTTTCTGTAAATTTCAAAATATTTTATATTTAGTTTTATTCTTCAGCAATAAAGAAGTTATCATCATATGTTAAAGTATTAATAAAGGATTGAAGTCACTTTTTTATTTTAAAAATTAATATGGCCTATAAATTCACATACAAAATCGAAATAAATCTTTCTAAAAAAATTACAATAAATTAGATAATTGAACAATTTTTATTTTTTTCCAAAAGGTATGTAATTATTAAAATAAGAACATGGAGATGTAAGCTTATTATTTAACAACAAATCATATGTATTTTCATTTAGGATTTTTATACAATAATATTTTAGTTTTTTTTTTTTTTAGTAAAAATAAAAGTATGTTTCCAATCATTAATTATAAAGATTTTTGAATCAAATCTCTTGTAAATACAAAAATTAGTAAGTAAAGTTTCATTTTAAAATAATAAAATTTATTTTATTTATTGAGGATATATTTTTATTTTAAACAACCATTAATGTAAGTGTTCCCTCATTAGGAATGATTTTAAAAGAATGAAATAAAATTCTGGGAGCGAAAAAATTAAACATTTCATTGAATTTAAATTATAATTAAAAAATTAAATTCAATTGTACAAAAAAAAAAAAAAAAAAAAAACAATTTTATTAAATAATGTAATATGTTTGTTGTCAATTTCCAAGTGTTATTTCTCTAAGGGATTTGCTTATCTAAATAATCGATAAAATATTAAATACATTTTATAACAATTTTACACTATAAAAATTAATAATGAAATTATTAAATATTATAAATTCAAGAATTTTTAAAATTTTAGAAACAATTCATCATCACACAATTATTATAGTTTACATTTTATTTTTTAAGTAATTCTTTCAGTTTTTTCTTATTACGTAGTTTACCAGTGTAGTACAATTTGCCGCGTCGTGGTACTAGCCACGATTCATGGCTTCTGCAAATAATTTTTCGTAAAATTTTTATATACTAATAATAATTACATTTTTAGTGATAAATAATTTTGGCGGTCGGTCACATCACTTAATTTCAATTTTTTTTTTTTTTTTATTCATATTTTTAGATTAATTCTTTTGTGTAGAAAAAAAATATATTTAAACGTGATTTCGAGTAATGTTAGTTAATAATTTATTGTTTCACAGTAAAAATTTATCTTTAACGTGAATAAATGTACGTTCAAAAAAATTTAAACGGGTAAATTTTTGTTTAAATTCAGAATTTTTTTTTTTCTTTTTCAAAAATAAAAACCGCGAGAATTTTTGCCGCTCATGTTACAAAGAAACTTTTCTGGTCAAGGTTTTATAGAAGGCCTTGAGAAGATCCAGGGGCCAATACTTGCTTATTGAATTCTAATTCATTGCTTTTTGGTAAGTTTTTTCTTTTCATTAAGGAATATAATTTATTTTACCGAATTTCCATGATTTTGATTTAATTTGCAAATAGTGAATTTGAATCGAATACAAACATGTTTAAATTATCGCACGGATTTTTTCCTTGTAACATTTTATTATAATCAACCAACTGATAACTTATTATTTTTAAACTGTTTTTTTTTTTTTTCTCAATTTATTTTTATTTTATTTTAATGATTATATTTACAAATGATGCAAAATTTAAGAAGTGTATCAATAACTAGAAATCTCTGGTTAAATAATTTTAACAATTAAATGTTTTTTTTTTAATTTAATAATAATTATCTTACTATGTCTTTTGTTAAGTAATTTTAAGTAAGTACTATGTGCTTAGGCAATCGAGTAAATTTCTTATTGAATTTAATTATTTTAACCCAAACAATAATGTTTTAACAAAAAAACACTTTATTTTACCAAATGAATTAAATGAAAAATTAAAAGTTAGGTTAAATAAAAATTTGTCATGGAAATGTTTTAAAAACAAATTACTTGATATACTTTATTAAAGATTTTACTTTTTAGTAAAATGAATACATTTACTGTATTGAAATTCTGTATTAAAAGTTATTATGGAAAAATATTTAAGTGTATTAAAAATTTTTATTAATTCTATATGCTATTTCATTTTTTTATTATTTGAATTCATCATATTAAATTTGGTAATGATTTCAGTCTAAAAAAAGATAAGTAATTAAAAATGTCACTTTTTAAAATTAATTCAATATCGATAGTATTGATCAAAGTTTAAATTAATTATATTATTGCGATTTTACAAATCTCACTAATATATATTTAAATGTATTTATTTATTTATTTTTTTTAATAACAAATTGTTGTTAATAAGTTTTATAAATTTAAAAAAATTAAAAATGAACAACTCATGCTTTTTTTGTACATCATCCAAATTGTTGAAAGTTTTTTTTACTTATCTTATACTTTTATTTGCAATTCTTATAGTTTAAATGTTTAAAAAAAAAACTTTTAATTTCAATTCAAATTAAATATGTTGTTTTTTTTATATTACCTATGTAATGCATGCTACAGTTATTAGTGTTATTATTGTTATGTTTTGTATGAGAAATATGAAAATTCTAAAAGAAGTGAAGATGTGAACCCTCCTAATAAGTTCAATTTTTACTTCATTATCAATTGATAAACTTTTACAATCGAATGTGTTTTACATTTATTTTTGTTCTGTCAGACTGATTGAGGCTTTTCTCTTATTTTATTTAACTTTAAATGTAATTAAATTAATCATTGCAAAAGATTTTTTTGTCTTTTGTGTTCAAGTAATTTTTACTTGGCTTTAAGATTTAATTAATTCAGAGTCATAATTAAATAATTATGAAAGTTTCATTTTTTTAAAATATAAAAATTTAATTATTACATTAGTAAAACGTTAGAAAATTATAAAATTTTTGCTAATGTCTAATTTTCTTATATAAAATTTTTTTTATGAAAAAAGTGAAATGATTTAATCAAAAACCGTTGACACAAAATCAACGAATAAAACTGACGTGATTTATTTAAAAATATTAATTTACACACATTATTTTATTTTATTTTTTATTTTTTAAATTAATAAAAAGTTTTAAAATAAGTTTTTCATTTTGTTTTAATAGCCACATTTTACAGTGGCAAAAAATGTATTAAAAATATGCAATATTTTATTGGCTCCGCGTGTGATAAAACTTATGTCACGAATCGCAGTCACGAACTAATGCACATTTATTATTGATTATTTTCGAGCACAATTTTATTTATTTATTTATTTCGAATCGGTTTATATGTTTAGATTTATTGCTACTACTTGATGTATTTTTACTGCCACGGTGGTGCCGGTTTTGGATAGAGTTTGCCCATATTGGGTTTTCTCTAAGATTCTTAAGGACTGAATTTTCCAATGAAATGGCAAAGATTGCTATCCTCTGTATGCTAAGATGTTTCTTTATTTTTTTAAATAATTAACAAAATTGCCAGTGTTTGAATTTGCATCAGTGATTAAAATTAATTTTAAGTAAAATAAGTAGTGAGATTTGACAGCCTGGTACATTTTAACTAATCCAAATAACATTATATTTCTTTGTTGTAATTTATACCTAAGTCAAATTTGACTGATGATCTCATCCTATGTATTTGGAGTTATTATTATTGTGTTAAAATTGTTGGCAAATGAACGGAATGAAAATGAGAATTTAATTGAGTAATTTATATATATATTTATATCACCATTTTTTTTTTTTTGCCTAAAAGCGTGCTAAGTTTGTTTCTTGGTACCGTGATTGTTATAAAAAAACACAAATCACATGATCGTTTATTTCCTATCAAGTTTTTCATTTCGTAGATTTATTATTATTATTATTTTTCTTAACACTCAATACTTTTAAAAAAACTTTACTCTAGTTCTCAGAAGTAAGTGTTGAAATTATTGGGAGGTTTCAATAAAATCATTCGATTTTATCTGAACAACGACGCCCAATAATATATATATATATATATATATATATATATATATATATATATATATATATAATATATATAATCCATGTGTTTTGTTTCTTTGACTTTTTTCGGAAACTTTATTTTATTTTTTTTATTCTTTTATAATTTTTACGAAATATTGAAAATTAGAAGCATTTGTAGATACTTATGCACCTTTTTACATTTCTTGATTATTTTAATTTCTTTTTTTTTTTTTTGTGTGCTTTTAATGGTATATTACTGTTTATTGGATATCAATGTGTCTCGATCGAGG